AGTTCACATGTGACCCTGGTTCCTTCGACAGGGCCTGGGGTGGGGGTGGGGGGGCGGACACAGGCACCCCACAGAAGCGACAGTGGGCTCTGGCTTCTCACGTGGGATCCGGGAACAGGGGGACAAGACCGGTCCCCCCCAGAGGCACAGACGAGAAAGAGCCCCCTCCCCAGGAGCAGAGGATCAGTGGCCGCGGAGAGCACGCCTGCGATCAGTCAAGGAGGCAGGCGAGTTATTAGCTTAGCCCTGAACCTCCTCCTTAATGTGGCCTGGTGGCGATGTTTAACAGAGCCTGGCCGCGGTGACAGGCCTGGGGCCTGCGTGAGGAAATCCAATTGAAACGCAGCGGAGAGGAACAAAAGCGCAAACACATGCTCCAGCTCCCAGATGCACTCATTTCACCTGAATACGAGTGTGTGTGTGTGTGTGTGTGTGTGTGTGTGCGCGCGCGCGCGCGCGCGCGCGCGCGCGTGGGGGTGGTGGTACTGGTCTCTTAAATGTAATGATTTCCCTGCTCCTCCCCGTGTAGACATCGTCAGGTTCAGTGATAGCCATCCCTGCTCGTCTGGTCAAACTTTCAGCAATCCAGAGGGTGTCAAAATCATAATGGCTAATAAGGGAATCCGGGGCATATGGTCTGTCTACCGAGTTTTACTAAACTATTGCAGCTAAATCAGACCCTCTGAAACTCCAATCTCATGGCAATTGAACGTTATCTCTAAACAAAACTGCACAGGTGAAATTCAAACAGTTTGTGTCATTGCTAGATTAGAAGGTTACCACGGTGGTAAAATATTAGCAGAGTTCTGCTTTGATTAGTCCCCTTTTTCAGCCACATCTGGTTACTAACTAGGGGCGTTTGTGTTGATAGAGGTGGGATCACGGTGCAAACTGAGACTGCCGCTGGCGTTCCAGCTTGACAAAACCAGATAATTAGATTTGAAGAAGAGTTGGGTTTTCTGAACCACGCGACATATCACATGCATTAGGAAGTGTTCTTTATGTCAGCACGGTTCTGGTTCCTCTCACAGGCTTTACAAGAGGAGAGAGGCCCCCTCACGATGTTGACTATCTTTAAAAAAAAAAATCAATCCTCTCCAGAGATTCTAAGTAAATGTAATGTAGAAGAGCAGTACGCTCCTAAGAAGATAAACATATGTACAAGAGTTTTTAAAGTGAATGAATGAATGCATGCCACGCCGAGACCAGATCTCACCCGGAATCTGCAGTGTTGCTCTGTGTCTAGAGCAAAGAACAGCTGCAGACTGTTTTCTCTGGTACCACTTCATTTTTTATTGGTGGGTTTTAATCTGGTGCATTTTGGGGGTCACCGTATTCATATTTGCTTTAGAATGCTCAATTATATCATCCTGCAAAGGAGAAAAGAGCTTGAGCTGTCATTCTGGGCTGAAATTTATTGAAGGTAATTTTATGAAGAAGAGTGATCTTGAGGAATGCAAGCTTTTAACATCCAAGAACAGCAGCAAAAATAAATTAATCAGGAATCCATCCCTAATTCACACAGGAATCACTTAAAAGGTGGGGTAAAACGGTTCAGTAAATTATGAATTTACAAATAAACTTCGTTCCAGGGACTTGGAAAAATACCTTCATTGGAATATAGAGCCATTTTTCCTAAAAACAATTTTTGCTTCAACTTCAGAGAGAGGGGACATAACACCAACGCCTCACCCCATATAAAAGCCCCGCTCCTGGGTGCCGCTGGGGGTCTGAGGCGGTGGCTCACGGACTCGCCTGCTGGCCACACACTCAGGGCGGCGCTTGGCTGTGTTTCTCTAACTTGTTCCCGTGAGTTCTACGCTCCCAGCACCTGAGGCTGATGATCCCTGTCTTCTCTCCATCATCCACAGTCAGGGCGGTTTAGCAAGAGGTAAATCACCCTCATGTTGGGCCGTGCTATTGTTCTCTCAAACAAAGGACAAAGCTCATTTCTACATAAATTTTAAACATTGTCTGTTGGAAGAAAATGGACTGCTTTTCTTTTGGGCTCAGGCGAAGTGAGTCTGCAACCTATTTCTTCATTTGAAACACCATTTGTTTTTTAACGTAGTGGAGTAATAATGGAGAATTTCTCTGCATGATGGGTCACTCTAATCTCAAAATATGCACTGATTTTTAAGGACCGAATAGTAGAATAAGTCAACTGTTCTTTTTTGACTAGATCCAGCTCCTGGATCTGAAATGTCCTGCCCGGGGTTGAGGAAGATACCTTTTTTCTCCTAAAGAAACACAGTGATACGGTAAGAAGGCAATAAGAACATTACAAGTTCATCTTGCAATACCTATATCCAAACAAAACTGTCTTCTCCAGAAATTTATTTTATTAAAGAAAATACAAATTACTTTTTTTCCCACCCACCCAAATCCCAGTTTGGTTCTTCCTGAATATATTCCTTATGAGATTTAAGAAGCACGTGCCTCAGTTTAGAATACAGGGCCATTAATGCTAAAAGCTAAAGTTGGAGATATTTGATATTCTGTGCCTTTCACACACATGAGGTACACATTAAATATAGCGTCAGTGTAACACTGAAATATATTAGGTACTTCATTAGGTCCTTTGAAAATGAAATAGGGCCAAGTGTCTAGCAACAAAATAACAAAGTGCTTAGAGATGATTTCACAGTTTTAAAACAGAATGTCTGGGGCCTAGGAACAATTGCGGGAGTTGGGGGCCAGCCATCAGCCAGGCATAATACAAATATGTGGCGATGGGAAATACATCCTAAGAAAATTACCAAAAATAGCAAAGGAAAATTACCTGTGATTCAATAAATGGCTCTAACCTTCCCAGACCTCCTCTGGGCTCCCCCAGCCGCCCCCCACCCACATGCACACCTACTTTCTGCGGTTCTGTTTAGTATTAGCATGCCTCACAGGCGTAACCAGCTCCATGAATGGATGGGTGCAGCCCCTCCCCCGCCCCGCCCCAGGCCGTAGCCCCGACCATGTAGACTCAGCCAGGCACACAGCCCAAATCCAGCCTTTTCACCCCTTTGATTTAAACCTCTCTATTGTTGCCCGACAGAGCGGCGGAAGGGCGTTTGCGGCCGAACCCGCCGTCTCTCTGGGCCCTGCCCACGCCTGTATCCCTGGCCCCACGTGTCATGGGCGTCTCCCTGCAGGGCAGCAAGCCGCGTTCCCAGCCCGCTCCCTCGGGGGCCGGAACGCTGCCCGCCCCGTGCCTCCTCCCCAGCCGTCCTTCTATCCTCAAGGAGGTGACGCGGTGGGGAGAGTAGCAGTTATGAAATTTTAATGCATCTTTTCCCGTGGGCACAAAATCCGCGCCCAGCGCTCCGTCCTGGGGCCGCTTCCAGCGGAAGGGGGCGAGCCCGGCATGCAAACACGCCTGGAGCAGCCGAACCTCCTGGGTTCTGCTCTCCCTGCGCTTCCTCTCTCAGCCTGTGGTTTCCTCGCATAAGAAGCAAACAGGAGATTGTTGCATTACACCCTGCAAGGAGTCAGGAGCAGCCCGCGCTCACTCATTCAGCCAGCATGGATGGACTGCGTCCCCCGCAGCGCTAGGAAGCCCACCACTGAGAAGGGACGGGGGGCAGGGAGCCGCCAGCCCTGGTCACCGGCTCGGCCGGACATGAAAACTGACCACTCACCAGCTGCCGGTGGGGTCCCCTCACCCTGACTGGGGGTCCCGGAGGCTTCTGAAGGGGGTGCCACCCTCACAGATCCAAGGGGGATCGGCCACAGAATATCACGGTTAGTAATAGTGGTCGTCTCTCATGTGCACCGCTTCATTTTATTCTTGTAATTCTCCAGAGAGGCAAGCAAGGCATGCACTGATTTCTGTTTCAAATAAGACAAAACGCAGCACGAACAGAACAGGCCGGCCCCTGGAGTGGCCGTGAACCTCTAGAGGGTGCCTCCCACGGGAGCCGAGTCAGGGGGGCCTGCCTCTCCATGGGCCCCCCAGGTACCCCGGCCAAGTCTCCCCGGGTAGATGGCGCCCCGGCTGGAGCACAGGAGCCGTGACCTGTGACCAAGACAAACCCCCCAGAGAAGGCCGCCTGCTTCCGAGGGGGCCCGGGAGGACCAGGGCCTCCGTGTCCGCAGGACGCCCCCAGGACCCGAGGGGCCACCTCTGTAGCCTCCACTGCCCGCCTCGGCCTTCCCCACCCTGAGTGTGTGCGAGCAAGCCCTGCTCCTTCCCCACCTCCTCCACACGTATGCACACACACACGCACACTCGTGCACACACACACACGCACGCGCGCGCGCACACACACTGCTGCCATTCACCCTCCTCCCTGCCTCTGCAGGTGACTCTCAGCCCCTCGAGGCCCACCCCCCGCCCCAGCTGCTATGTTGCCCAGAATCCCAGACACCAGGCCTCCAGGGAACTCCCCTGGGGAGACATTTCTATCTTGTGTTTTTTTCTTTAGAGTTTCTCAACTGCTCTGACGTTTTTGTTTCCATGTATGTCCTGGTGAAATACTCTTCATCAACAAATCTTTCTATATTATGACCTACTTCTCTCTCTGCTTCTTTATGGTTCTCTGCCTTTCCCAAAATTTCTGTGATGAAGATGTCTGGCTTTCATAACCATGAGCAAAAGTTAAAAATTCCAAAGTTTTCCCACTCAGGAAGATTAAAAAACCCTGACTCTTCTCTGAGTCATAGACTACGGGTGACTTTTTCTTTAATCCGTCTATTTCCAAATTATCTAGAGTTAGATATAGATATCACTGAAAATATATGAAGGTATAATAAAGATATAAAAATGGGAAACAAAGGCTGTATTACATCAAGACGTGTGTCTGCACGACCACCGGTTTACTTCACACCCTGTAGACCTGCCACGAGGCATGTTCCAGAGTTGAAAGGGAAGAGACACACAGACAGACAGAAGTTACGGTCGAATCGTGGCCCCACACCATTAACCGGCAGAGATTGGAGCTGCTCACGTGCGATTAGAACTTCCCAGACGCTCCTCACTTTTCATCTTCTTGTAAGAGCCTGGGAATTTACTGCTGAGCCTGTGTCCTGCAGAGAAAATTACTTCTCCGGGAGGACCTGCTTGCACAAGCGTAAAATCCCCAGCGCTCTGTGGACAGCAAGGCGGCCAGCACGGCCTCGGAGCTGCTGATCTGGCTCTTTCGAGATACCTGCTCCAGACAACTTCGGGCACAGGCCTCCCAGCACACCACCAGCTTGATATCTGTGTCCCTTGCCAGCCCCAGTGTGTTACTGAGGACCCTGTCCACGAAGCAGGCCTCCCTGGGGGCCGCAGGGACGCAGTGATGCCCGGCCCGGGGTCCTGGGGTGGGGGGCGTGTCGTCTCTCGGGGGGACGCACAGCAAGGCTCCCACCGATCGTCTGGGGGAAGGCCGGCCCAGCAGAGGGAACAGCCGGTCCAGAGCACAGAGGAAGAGGGGAGCCCGGGGCTCGGGGCTGGGGGGAGGAGCAGGGTGAGGATGGGCAGGGGTTCCAGATGAGCCGTGGAGGGCTGGAGGGGCTAGAATTTAATTCTGAGTCTGATGAGAAGCCGTTTGGAAGCTGTGAGAGAGGGAATGATGGCATATGATTTTTTTTTAATTAAAAAAATGTTTTTTCATTTCTTATTTATTCTTTTTTAGTGATCCCTCTCACTAAGAGGCCTGGGTCAGGGTGGTCCCAGGTAGGTCACCGAGGCTCGGGGAGACCGAGGTGCAGAACTCAGAGCACCAGGCCCCGGTTCTCACGAGGCAACTCAAAGGGTGCATGCTAAGTCGCTTCAGTCGTGTCCAACTCTGTGTGACCCCACAGACTGTAACCCTTCAAGATCCTCTGTCCATGGGATTCTCCAGGCAAGAATGCTGGAGCGGGTTGCCATTTCCTCCTCCAGAGGGTCTTCCCCACCCAGGAATCGAACCCACATCTCTTATGTCTCCTCCATTGGCAGGCAGATTCTTTACCACAAGCACCACCTAGGAAGTCCGCATAAAGTCCCCGGGGAGCCTTTAAAATACACTTGCACCCAGGCCCCAGCCCAGACAGGGGATCCTGGCATGAGGCACTGGCATCATATTTAAAAGCTTCCCAGCGACTCCCGTGTGAGTCCAGGTGGAGAGGGCGGCCAGAAGTGAGCGGAGTGACGCTGCTCCCCACGCCCCCCGAACGTGAGTCATCCCGCGAACAGGAGGCAGCTCGGCACGGGATGTGCAGTCTTCCACGCGGAGCCCAGACACACGCCCCTCTTAATCAAGCACTCCAGAGAATTACTCAGAGAACTCACCATACAAACACACTGATCAGTGTCCGGCTCCGGGAGTGGGCAGCTTCCAGAAGGCAGCCCCGGCCTCTCTCCCCCTGCCTCAGTGCCCCGTCCTCTTTCTCTCTATCTCCTCCCGGCCTTTCCTCCTTGCTCTGATCGCCGCCCCACGCCCACCGTCCTCCACGGGCCTCCTGGGCACTCACCCTGGGCACCTGGGGCGCCTGGGCAGCCAGCCACCCCGGAGGCTTCAGGCCGCAGAGACCATCTCCAAGCGGAAGGTCTGGGTGAAAAGGCTGCAGCACTGACACCACGTCCTGCTGCCGCACACCGCTCTGAGAAGCGGCCTAGCAGTTTTTAAAGGCTCAACATGAAGCTTCCGCGCTGTGCTTAGTTGCTCAGTCGTGTCCCACTCTTTGCGACCCCAGGGACTGTGGCCCGCCAGGCTCCTCTGTCCATGGGGACACTCCAGGCAAGAATGCTGAAGTGGGTTGCCATGCCCACCTCCAGGGGCTCTTCCCAACCGAGCGATCAAAGCCAGGTCTCCCGCATCGCGGGCGGATTCTTTACCTTCTGAGCCAGCAGGAAAGCCCTGAAGCTGTGGTCCAGGGACTCCCCTCCTAGACACACACCCAAGAGAAAGAAAACAGATGTGCACACAGAAACTTGCACACCAATAGCAGCATTACTCATAATCCTGATATCCATCAACCGATGCGTGGATAAACAGTGGGGTGTAAGAGGCTTCATCCCTAAGAGTGGAATTCTGATCCAGCAGCTTGGATAAGCCTTCAGACATCTGCAAAGTGCAGGAAGCCAGCCACAGAAGCCACATGCTGTAGGACCCCATTTACACGAAATGCACAGAAGAGGAAAATGTAGATGGGAAGGAGGGGAGAGATTGTCTGGGGCTGGGGGCAGGGCGGAGCGGAGGGTGACTGCCCCTGGGTACAGTTCTTCTGGGGGGAAAGTGTGTTCTAAAACTGACTGATTGTTCTAAAATATAACATTAAAACATGAAAGTATGTTCTAAAATTGACTGTGGTGATGGTCACCCAGCTCAGCAGATACACTCAAAACTACTGAATTGCATGGTTTAAACCGGTGAATCGTATGGTGAGTGAATTTTATCTCAATAAAGCTATTAGAAATAAAATGTGTGCTTCAACAACAGACACCTACAAAGACTGAACAGAGCATGTATTTTAAAGGTCATGAGGGCCCTAAGAAAGTGTTACCTGGAAGACTGCAGTCAGGGCAGCCACAAGTTACAGAGAGACAGGACCCGCCCCCTCCAAGCACGTCTTCCTTGCTTGCAGGAAGGCCGGGATGGCAGCGTGCCCTTGGGTGGGCGCCTTATGAATTCCTCCCCTTTCCCCGTTTAGTCTGACGGCGCCTCTTCCTTCTCAGCGTGAGAACGTTTCTATCCTCGGCTGGCTCATTTCCATGCCCCCACACGCAGGCCCTGGCGGGAGTTCTAGTCCTTTCCGTGGAGAAGATCAGGGCTTTGGATCTTAAAGGCCCTCCTCCAGGGTCCAGAGTCAGCTCCAGGCCAGTGACAGCCGAGCCACCACCTGCCCCACCCAAGAGGCACCCAGGACCCTGTGAGTCCCCTCCGTCCCAGATGAAACCCCGCAGCCTTGCAGGGCCTCTCCCTCTAAGTGTCACTCACCCCTCCACCCCTGCAGACGCTTTTCCAGTCCACGCCCCACAGGCAAGTTTTCCCAAACTGCTCCAGCAGCTTCCTGGTCTCCATCAGCCCCTCCTCTCCAAGCCCTCCTGGAGCCAAAGGTTTCTGGACCACCCGCAGTGTCTTCACAGGTTCCTGACTACCAGGCCCCTCCTCAGTTCAGTTCAGTTCAGTCCAGTCGCTCAGTCGTGTCCGACTCTTTACAACCCCATGGACCACAGCACGCCAGGCCTCCCTGTCCATCACCAACTCTTGGAGCCTACTCAAACTCATGTCCATCGCGTCAGTGATGCTGCCATCCAACCATCTCATCCTCTGTCGTCCCCTTCTCCTCCTGCCTTCAATCTTTCCCAGAATCAGGGTCTTTTTCAATGACTCAGTTCTTCCCATCAGGTGGCCAAAGTGCTGGAGTTTCAGCTTCAGCATCAGTCCTTCCAGTGAACACTCAGGCCCCCTACGGCCCTTCTGAGAGTTTTGAGAGAACCAGCGCCCTGTCTCAGCGCCTCACATCGTGCCCCTGAAGAGGGGGCTGCCCGGATGGTCACCCCCTCCCTCAAGGTCATTACTGGTCTCAGCCCAGAGACGATGGGTTCGACCTTCCACTCCAGGGCCCATCACGACCCCCGGCCAGGCAGGCCGCCTTGCTCTTGTGTATTCGTGGCCCCCCGTCGGTCCCCGACAGAAGCCGCAGCGCCTCAGCAAGGCCTTCTGACAAGCCTGACCTAGTGCTCAGTCTGGGGGTCGGAAAATGCTCATTTACTCCAAAGGTGTCTGTAGATAGTGTTCACTCCGGGCCCCAGAATGTACCTGAGGTGCGGCGGGACAGACCCCACTCGCTGGGTGAGCTGACCCGAGACTCAGCACCCAGGGTCCCACGCGCCCCCTGGAAGCAAGGGGTCCTGCGGGGGCGGCTGGGGCAGCAGCTTCTGGAAGCACAGGGAGACGCCCTCGACAGAGACTGCAGGGGCAACAGGAGGGCAAAGGCCCAGAGGGCGCTGGGGGCCGGGCCCAGGGGCGGGGGGAGGGGGGGCGGGGAGAGGGGCGGGGGGGGGGGGGCGGCCGGGCCCGGCGGCGGGGGAGGGGCGGGAGGGCTGGGAGCCGGGCCTGGGGCGCAGGAGTCTGCAGGGGGCAGGCCGAGGAGTGGCGGGTGGGGTGGGGTGGGGGTGGGTCCCCGGGGTCTGCGCGCAGCCTCTGGGGTGAGGGGCCCCCAGAGGACTTGACCTCCCCCTCCCCACTCGCAGGTCTGTCCTTCTCTGTCCCTGACCAACCCCTGGTGGAGGTGACTGGCCCCTCACCCAGACAGAGTGTATGCCCGCGGGGACCAGCTCCACGCTTCCCCCCTCTTTCCTTCCTGGACCGTCTCTGGGCACCTTACTCATCCCACTGAGCAGGTGCAGAGGCACCGTCAGCCTCCAGCCTGTTCAGGTCTAGGGTGTGGTCACGGCACGTTCTCTACTTTGGCCGCAGAGTTCTGACCTGGGGAGGTCCGATCAAATCCAGAAACTTACAGCGCAGGGTCGGCTTCCAATACATAGAACAGCAGAGTTCATGTCTCCATAGCGACCACTGGCTGTTAAAATGAACGTGAATGTATTTTTCTATTGCAGAAATTCAGGGAGCATTGTTCTTTAATTAAAAAAGATCCGCTCACTCCAGGGTGTGAACTCGGGATTGATTAACTCTTCTTTGTTGACACATTTCTCTGGAGCCATCATGCACTTTGTTTCTATTTAAAGTTAGCAAATGCAAACCAGCGTGGAATGACATATTTGGAAAATTGCAAAAACTCGTTTCTAGCACAGCATCTCTATACCTCTCTCACACACACTCATCTCCAAACACACATGGGCCCCTAGGAAATAGAAATGCATTTTTCTTGCAAATTCCTGGTTTGTTTAAAGTTCAAAGTTGATTGACACATGCTTTCAGTTAATGAAGGTAATTACAAAGAATAACAATTCCAAACAGATCTGTTCAGTGTTAACAATCTCGTCCTGCCACGAAGATTACATCGAGGCCCGTCAGACACACAAGTTTTTTTTGCCACCAATCTTGCGGACACATGTGTGTAAGACAAGAAACAGATTAATAAGCATCAACACTTTCTTCTACACACTTACTGAAAAGAATAAAAGCTGCCGGCTCTGATGGAAATGATACCACGGTAGACGTTTCTCCATCTGGCCTCCAAAAACCAGCCCTGCAGGCCTCTCAGGAAGGACAGAGTGCTGGTCAACCTCTGCTGCTCGCCCTCCGCAGGGTGGACAAGCCACGCAGACGCACCGTCGCTAGCGCCGTCTTGCCTGAGACTTCGGACTTGCTGCCCTGCTTTTCTACAAATCTCTACTGCGTCGTTTGGAGAAGAAACAGCCCAAACGGAAGGTTTGTTCCTGCTCCAAACGATTAGTACTTGTTGAGTATCTATTATCTGGTAAAGACCCATCTGGATAAAACTCAGGGACCTTGGGGAAGACTGACCAGGTATTTAGAGATAAATCATGACTCCAGCCTTTGGGAAATGTGGATACATATGGAAAAGGTCTGTGATTACAATTACACTGCCAGGCGGGTGTAGCTCTAACTTCAAACACCAGGATTATAAAAGAAGGTTCCACCACATTTAGTTTTATCCTGCAAACATGCTGGGTAAATGAATATTACCCCTAACACACCAAAGAGTGGATTTTCCACTTGACTTTTTTACTGCCTCATATAAATAGCAGGTAAAATGAAAAGGGACGGACAAAGTACTGCAACAATCACATTGTATACAGCATGGGCTTTGTTGCTATATCATAATTGTGGGGCCTTTTATTCTAAGCTGGTTAGGATTGAGGGTCACGTTTTTATAGCAAAGAGGGCATAGAATTGTAGCCAGCGGCGGTCTGAGCTCAGCCCGTTCATGAGTATGCCGTGGCTGCGTTTGCTTTTCTGTGACACGGGGTGTTAGGAGGCCTGGCTGACGCGCCAGATGATGGCAAAATAAATAAATAGCGCACACGTGAGACGAAAGGTCCCAGTCGCGCTGCTCTCGGGAACCTGCATTTTTACGTTTAAAAACAAAGACAAGCCTCTTGGTCTATATTTAGAAGTCAGAAGTGGTCTATTTAAAAATGAATTTTTTCCCATTTCTGTGATCCCGTGTTAATGAGAGAGTGGGTTTATGGGTCTCCCAATGTCTCTTAGAAGAAAAGCGCCCTCTGATCTGTGCAGAAGAGCCTCAAGGCCGCGTGGAGGCTGGGGGTGCCTTCAGAAATGTCCTATTTCAACAGCATGAAACTCAGCTAGCAACTATTTCTTCCAAAGGGTTTTGATTTCTTGGTTTTGCCCATATTCTGCAACTGCTCTAGAAGGACTGAAGCTCTAGATGTCTCTAAATGATCTGAGTATTGTTCCATCACTCACTTGGAGATTTCTTACTAAGACATATTTAGATGTGATCATGGACCTAATATTCCAGGTTCCTATGCAATATAGTTTTTCCAGTAGTCATGTATGGATGTGAGAGTTGGACTATAAAGAAGGCTGGGACTGAAGAATTGATGCTTTTGAATTGTGGTGTTGGAGAAGACTCTTGAGAGTTCCTGGGACTGCAAGGAGATCCAACCTGTCCATCCTGAAGATCAGTCCTGAATACTCATTGGAAGGACTGATGTTGAAGCTGAAACTCCAATACTTTGGCCAACTGATGTGAAGAGCTGACTCATCGGAAAAGATCCTGATGCTGAGAAAGACTGAGGGCAGGAGGAGAAGGAGGCAAGAGAGGATAAGATGGTTGGATGGCATCACCAACTCAATGGGCATGAGTTTGAGCAAACGCTGGGAGACAGCGAAGGACAGGGAAGCCTGGCGTACTGCGGTCCACAGAGTCCCAAAGAGTCGGACACGACTTAGCGACTGAACAACAATAAGATGTGATCAGAACAAACGACGTGAAATCATCTCATTCATTTCTGACTTCAAAGGTTCAACTCACTTTCTCATCATGAACCTGTCTGCGCAGCAGGCTGTAACCCTGAAACCACGCTGACCAGAGAGCTGTATTTTGTATTTCAGAAGCATGATGACCTACTTAAATTTGGTATATAATGTCATTTCTGCCGGTAGCAGGTGAAAAGTTAAGTGATCACACAAACCTGTATTGTATCGATCAGTTATAAGAGGAAAGAAAAAACCTGGGAGAAGTCTTGGTGTGTCTCCTCCACATATTAGAAGGGCAATGGGAACTAACCGTTTTCAGAAACGGATTAAATAAAACAGCTCAGTGTCTCAGAAACCCTTGTAATGTCATCTTTCACCTTCAGGACAACTTTTAGTGCTGTGCTGAGGGTCCTGAGCAGAGAGATTAATAACTAGGAATTTGTCATTAAAACCTTACAAGCGCTATATTTCAACACGTCCAAGATGCCACTGTAAGATGCCTCACAATTCTGTGATCCCCTGAGAAAGAACAAAATCTGGTGGTGCAATCACGTCATGCTTCCAACTGTCTGAGACATCTGCCCCCACAGATGTGAAAATGGTAAGACACATGCATCTTAGAACCTAGGAAGTGTGACACCTCTAAACTCATCATGAAACACGGTCAGTCCTCTGTCTCAGTCTGAAGTGAAATCATTGCCCGTGTGCTCACCTGACTTGGCATCCTTGCCTCGTGAACCCGTCTGTCCTCTGACTTTCTCGTCTTTCCATTCAGACCCTCGGGACTTCTCACCTGCCGCTTCAAAGTGCTTGCTCTTTCCAGATCAATGCAGACCAGGAGAAAGGGGACGCGCCCTGAAGGGGCCCCAGGGCAGGGCAGGGTGAGCTGCAAGGAGGGGAGAGGTCTGGAGAGTCTCTAGGGGCCTGGGGCTGGGCGGAGGGTGGGAGGGAGCAGGGAGCCGGCAGACCCTGGGGTGCGGTTGCAGGAAGCAGGCGGTGGGCAGAGTCGACGACAAGGCTGCCAGTCTCACGGTGGCACCAGGGGCTGGGACGGTGGTTGGAGCCAGGCCGTGGCGTCGAACACCCACGTAGCTTTGGCTCGGATTCCATGGGTGAGAGATAGGGCGACCTAACAGAAGATAAACTGGAAGGTCTGCAAAGAGAACATGCAGGGGCAGGAGACCTGCTCCCTGGGAGGGCTGGCACACGCCACCCGGGAGTCCTGGCTTTGCTGTCTGACCAGAGGGGCCCCTAGGCAGACAGGTGCCAGTTATCTGAAAGTTACCTGGAGGAAGTGTGGGTTTCTTGGGTGACTGACCAGGTCCTAGCACTTGATTCTACAAATATTTCCTCATAATCTGTGTTTTATTTCGTGTATTTAACTTAATTCTTTTCATTTTTTTGGCCGAGCCACGATGTAGGCGGCATCGTCCCTGACCAGGAATTGAGCCTGTGCCCTGCGTTGGGAGCACGGAGTCTTAACCACAGGACCGCCTGGGAGTCCTTGCCCAGAATCTTAGACTCGTAGGGAAGATAAGGGAAAGTGAAAGTCGCTCAGTCGTGTCTGACTCTTTGCGACCCCATGGATTGTGGAGTCCATGGGATTCTCCAGGTCACAGCACTGGAGTGAGTAGCCATTCCCTTCTCCAGAGGATCTTCCCAACCCAGGGATTGAACCAGAGGCTCCTGCATTGCAGGCAGATTCTTTACCAGGCAGGCCACGAGGGAAGACCAGTTTTCTAGAAAACAGAACTAAGGATCAGTTTTCTGGAAAACAGTGTCAGAGCAAATGAGCACTGGCTGTCACAGGCTGCCTGGTCCCTGTAGCCTCGTGGCTGGAATGAGATTCCATGAGGTCCGAACTTTGACCTTGCAGTGATTCAAATCGATTCAACATTTTCCAGAGCGATATCTTAATTTTTAGCCACGCTTGGACTGACCCGAGGCAAAATGCAGGAAAGGGAAGCTTGTCTCATGTGCCAGCCCCCAGCACGGCTTGTGGGCAGCTGAGGGTCCCCTTCTGTCTGGTGGGCGGGGTCCTCGGGGCTCAGACCTGGTCCACGGCCCCGCGCAGAGACAAGAAGGCTTATCTTTGAAACTGGACCGGTCTTACGACACGCAGCAAAGCTGCTCAGCTTCAAGAAGCTTCCATGTCCCCTTCCGGCAAGGTTAAATGACATAGCCTGGCACTGCCTGGGTGCCTTCCAGCTCCCAGGACACAGTAGTCAAGAAACAAAAGCTAGATGGGGACCTCCCTGGTGGCCCAGCGGTCAAGACTGCACCTCCATTCCGGGGGACACAGGTTCTATCCTTGGGAGGGCAACTAAGTTTCCACGAGCCCTGCGGTGTGGCCAAAAACTAAAACTAAAAAAAAACAAAAAAACCACGAATCCTGGTTAGCTAATGAAGAATACAATGCTTTGTCCACTTTAAAATGCTTATGTTTCTAAAAGGCTTTTACAAATATTGAATTATTTTAAAGACTTAACTAAGTGGTCTGCGAAATTTGGAAGCATTTCTGCCCATCTTGAAATGTATAAGATGGAAGGTGAAAACCTTCCCTCACCACCCCCACAGTCCCAGACTCTGCAGCGTAGGAAGAAAATCCATTACTATTTATGCTTCATTTCTCACCCGATGTCCCGGAGTGTGGTCAGCACAGTAGAGTCCCGCAGTCCGGCGGGCAGGCTTCCGGGCCCCTTCAGCACAGGGCAGGTGGCCTTGTCTCTCCGTATTCGCAGGCTCCCAGCACCCTTCTGACTCACCCATTTGTGCACACGAGCAACGCCTTATCGTATTCTGCTCATCCACACGCTCACTTACTCATTCAACAAGTGTGTATCAAGTACCTGTGATGTACTTTTAGGTTGTCTGTAGTGGTTTACTATCATGATGAATGCTTACCTTGATACATGTAGTCTTGTATACTTCTGTGTGCTTATTTCTACAGACTAGATTCTCCAAAATGGAACTTCCAGCTTTAAATGTGCATGCCTTCTGAAGTTTGAGAGGTACTGACAAATTCCCCCACAAAAAGGAGACATCAGTTCCTACTCCCACCAGCAGTTTCCTGATCTGATAGGTAAAAAAAAAAATTACCTAATCTGTCTTTCCGTGGTCACTAGTGGAAATGAATTTTTTTTTCCCTGTCATGCTTATGATTCACTTCTATGAATTTTCAAGTCCTTGACCCATTTTCTAGAAGCTTTTTAAAATTTTTACTTCTATTTATTTTAAAATTAATTTTTACTTATTTTAAATTTTACATTTATCTATTTTTAAATTTTATTTTATTTCCTTTTTAAAATTTTCCCTGCACTGGGTCTTCCTTGTGATATGAAGGCTTAGTCACCCCATGGCATGTGGGATCTTAACTCCCCAACCAGGGATTGAACCCATGTCCCCGGTATTGAAAGGCAGATTCTTTAAAAAACAAACAAACAAACAAAAAACCCACTTTTTATTTTGTATTGGAATATTCCTGATTAACAATGTTATGATCGTTTTAAGTGAACAGTGAAGGGATTCAGTCATACATATACATGGATCCATTCACCCCCCAAACTCCCCTCCCATCCAGGCTGCCACATAGCACGGAGCAGAGTTCCCTGTTGGAAGGCGAACTCTTAACCACTGGACCAGCAGGCAGGTCATTCTAGGAGTTTTAAGGGGCTGCCAGTCTTCTTGACGGCAAGCTGGCCCAGAGGGGGCGGACCTCTCTGTGTCTCCCTGACGGCACTGCCCGTGTTTAAGGCAACCCTGGAACACCACGCAGCTCTGGAAAAGTGGGGGGTCATTTTGCCCACCTCGGGTTCTCTCATTACGACCTGAGTCACCTTGCAGATACTCTGAAGTCCCAACCTGTCCACGTTGGTGCCAGCAGTCTCAGAGTCGAGGATGGAAACGGACAAGACGTCTGGGTACGGGAGCCAGTGTCTTCTCCCGGACCTGCCCAGCGGTCACACCCGGTGGTCGTGGCTCCTCATCAATGCCGTCCAGACAACTAACAGTTACTGGGTCTCTGAGCGCCCCATCTGAAACATCTTTGCCCCCTCTCGAGCACCACCCCCGCCTACCCAGTTTTTCTCCACAGCATTTCCCACCTGGGCGTCTGTTCCCGTTTCCTTGTTTATTTCTGTCTGTCTCACGGCTGCATGAGCCCCACTGAAGATGCTTGGATCAGAATAGATCCCCATGACTGTAAATTATCTCATCTGATCTCTCCAACAACCCTGTGATGGAGGTATTACTATCACCTCTAGTTCACACAAGAGGAAAACGAGTCCAGAATCAATTTAGGAACACGATCAAGTTTGTGTAGCTGGTACAGGGCGGGCCTGAGAGTCCGACATTGTAATGCTGCTTCTAAAGAGAAAGGAAACTGAAGCTCCCCCAACAACCCCCCCCCCCCACAGCCCAAATGCTAATGCCATTTGCAAAAGGGCCATGAGATGGCTCTAAAGCTAGGATTTATTTGTTAATACTTTTCTGATTTCCATGTATCTACATACCCAACCCTTCGTATTTAACCAGTTCCCAGAAGTGATGATTGAGACTCTGTCTATTTGGGAAAAGGGGCCACTCAGCCCAGTGTTGAGAGCATCTCTTGTGGCTCAGACAGTAAAGAGTCTGCCTGCGATGTGGGAGACCTGGCTTCAATCCCTGGGTCGGGAAGATTCCCTCGAGGCGGAAATGACTACCCACTCCAGTATTCTTGTCTGGAGCCTCCCGTGGACAGAGGAGCCTGGCAAGCTTCAGTCCAGGGGGTTGCTAAAGAGTCGGACATGATTGAGCGACTCACACACACACACACACTCCAGTGTTGATGGTCTTCTTTGCTAAATCACAGGAAGCAGAGAGCTGTTCCATTCCTTTTTTTTTTTTTAATCATATTGTGCTGGACTCTTTTTTTTTTTTTTTGGCCTCACTGTGTGGCATGTGGGATCTTAGTTCCCTGACCAAGGATCAAATCCGCACCCTCTGCATTGGAAGCACTGGAGTTTCTCATGCCTTTTTGATATACAACTTTCAGAGCAATCAGCATTTTGTGCGCATTCAACAAATATGTGTGGAAAGAATCTTGTTCCCAGAGGAATTGGCCATTGTAATGAAAACCTTAATTTCAAACTAGCACAGGGAAATTCTCCCTTAGTAAACTGAACTTTCACACTAGCGTCACCTGGGCCTCACGCTCACAGATTCTGATTTCATGGGCCTGGGGTGCCTCTGGGCCCCTGGGATTTATTAAATCTCCCAGGGATTCAGAGGACAACCAGGGAGGAGAAGCGCTGAAAGACAGCTCCTCCGACGAAGGCTGCACACCCGTCAAAAGGTGATATTTGGGCAAAAATACGCACTGAACAGAATTCTTCCAGAATCACCCAATCTGCAGGCCCCTCAGGAGAAAATAGACCAAACCAGCTCAGAAGGGATCATGCCAGCAGCTCTCCTCAACACGAAGGAACACCCAAACCTTAGGGACTTGTGAACACAGAGGAACCCTTCTGTTTTACTCTATTTATTTTTAATTGAAGGATAATTGCTTTACAACATTGGCTTGATGTCTCGCTCCAGGGAGATTAGCTTGCCTTTTTGGAAGTCCGGGGTCTTCTGCTGTCATGTAGAAGCTGCTCTGTAGGCGCTGTTTCATGTTTTGATGAGTTTTTGATGTGTTTATGCAAAGGCAAGCAATCTCCCCATCTTATTCCTCCACCACCTTCTTCCGCTCTCCGCAAGGCATCCTTTTGTTTTTCTAGACCAGGGATCTGCAGACATTTTACCGCCCAAGAGGGACTGTTTTCAGCTTTGCAGCAATGACCCCCTGCCCCAGGACAGCCCCAAATTTGCCCGCACGTGGACGGGGAAGTGCGGCATGTCCCAGTAGAACTCTCTCCATGGACATTAAATCGTGAATTCCACGCAACTCTCACATCACAGAATACTATCTTGATTTTTTTCAACCATTTAAAAGTGCAACCCATCTTCAGCAAGGAGGCCAGACAAGAACATGCAGGGAAGCCTCATCTGGCCGCCGTTCGGAATCCTCTGCTGCAGAAGAACATGGTCAGAAATGAACACGGGAAATATGCGAGCTGTAGATCAGTGGATCATCCTACTCAAGACACAACGGGGGGAACTGATTGCACCCATCCCCTCCTCCATTCCCACCCTCCCGGGACGCCCCAACTAGACTCCTTCTCAAACTGTAGGCGACCTTGAGACACTGGGATATCTTGGGTGGGCTTGCTTTTAGTCCCATTCTTACTGGGGAAATTTCAGGCTGCAGAAGAGGCGGGCCCTCAGGACAGGGTGGCTCGAACCGGAGCTTACCGGAGCTTTAATAACTCAATCCCAGAGCCCATGGCTGCCCTATCTGGAGGCGGGTTTTACTGTCCTTGGGTCATAAAAATACCAGCTCCAGGTCCCCACGGGAACGGTTTACAGTTGATTTACACAAAAACAGGGCTATTAAATACGAGCCCCAAAGATTTAGGGAGCTAGGAGACATGAAAACTGGAGGGAGATGAAGTAAGTCCCACGCTGGGCGGCCCTCTCCCCAAGGGGATGCCCAGAGGGGTGCTGGCCACAGAGGCTGGGAGGCGAGGCTGCTGGCAGAAACTGTGTGCTCACCTGGCTTCAGAAGCAAATCTCTCTCAGTTATTCGTCAGCACAAGGGGCCAGGCTTCATGCATCACACACAGCCCTGGGTAAGAGAAACACTGAAAAGCGAAATAATTCCCTTTGGAGAATTTTCAAAAAAAAAAAAAGATTGTGGAGAAGAGAGAAGAGAGAGGTGGAGAAGAGAGAGGTGTTTATCATGGATGAAGCAGAACCACAGCCGCATGGATGGACCCAGAGAGTATCCTACTAACTGGAGTGAGTCAGACAGAGGAAGGCAAACATTGTAAACGTGTCACTTATGTATGGAATCTAAAAATTACACAAATGAACTTATTTGCAAAACAGACACAAACACAGAAAACAAACTCATGATTCCCAAAGGGGAAAGGGATGGGGAAGGATAAGTTAGGAGCTGGGGGTTGATATACACGCCTATATGTAAAACAGATGAGCCACAAGGACCTGCTGCATAGCAGAGGGAACTCTGCTCAATATTCTTAATAACGTAAACGGGAAAAGAACTTGAAAAAGCATAGATATAGGTATATGCATGACTAAATTGCTTTGCTATACTCCTGAAACTCATACAACATTGTTAATCAATTTTACTGCACTGTAAGATAAAATTTTAAGAAATAATGATGAGAAGTATTTTGTCTTCATCCATGTTAAAAAAGAAAAAAAGAGAGAACCCACTTGGAGATGGATTCTTCTTGTCTTTGGGGAAGAAAAGAAGATCAAGGAGACGGAGGAGGGCGGGGTAAGGAGACGTGGAGGAGAAAAACCCAGGAGGCGGTGTTTGCATGGGGGGGGGTCCTCTCAGGGGCCTGCAGGGGCAGCCCCTGGGCACAGCCCAGCGCGCTTCCGCTCCCTGAAACCCCAGCCCCCAGCAGGCTCTGCCACGGCAGCCGTCGTAAACATGTTTTATGAGCCACACTGCTGGCTGCAGCCTCACCTTCCCCAGAACAAAGACCAGTGTCCAACGGCAGTGACGGCGAGATGACCGGCCTGACCCTCACCTCGCTGATGGGCTTTGCACGCTAAAGCTCGGCAGGTCGGAGAGGCAGGGCCCAGAGTCCACTTTTGTAGCAACACTGATGTTTTTCCCAGGCTCATGGGGGAGTTTTCCAACTAGCCACACAAAAATGAAACCTGCAGACAGCATTGAAGAGAGGCCCCAGAACGATTGCTGGAACACCAAAGCTGCTTCTCATTAAAGCAGAGAATTAGTGGGAATGTTTAAATGGAGAACTTAGGGGAGAAGGTAGATGCTGAAAGCTTCGTGGAAATAATTCTATGTGAGAAAAAGCAGAGCCATCCGCCGAAGCCCTCTTTTGCTGACCTGGTCCAAGCCCCGGCTTCCGCACTGTCCTGATCACAGTGATTCAAATGTCCTCGATTGCGTTGATTTCTTAAGAGTAGTCAAAAAGGTGACCAAATATTTTTAGCATTTCATGAAAGAGAGTGAAAGTGTTACTCACTCAGCCTCGTCTGAGTCTTTTCCACCCGACGGACTGCAGCCCACCAGGCTCCTCTGTCCGTGGGGATTCTCCAGGCGAGAGTTCTTGGGGGAGGGCGGCTTGCCATGCCCTCCTCCAGGGGATCTTCCCAATCCAGGGGTCGAACCCAGGTCTCCTGATTGCAGGCGGATTCTGTATCATCTGAGCCACCAGGGTGAGTCTAATCCCAGGTCAGGGTCTCCACTCCATGGTTCTGGGGGAAGACGTCCCCAATTTCATTGTTTTTCTTCCTTCAGTCTGTGAATCAAGTTTTAGTAGTAGTAGTAACAGCATTGTTATTATTATTATTTTGGCCCTACCCTGCAGCTTGTGGGATCTTAGTTCCCCAACCAGGGATTGAACCCAGGCCCTTAGCAGTGAAAGCACCAAGTCCTAACCACTGGACCACCAGGGAATTCTCTGGATCAAAATTTTTCAAACATTAGCTAGATTCTTGGGCAAATATAGGACTCAAGTTTTGTTTGGGGGAGGGGGCAGAAGGTTAATAGTGAGTTATGAGGATGGTTGAGGGGAGTGCAAACGTCCACACAAAGCCCAGAGTTTAACTGGGGGATCAGATATGACGTGTAAGAAAAACAAGAGCTCAAGTTGTCTTTAATTGACTTTGAAGTCAGGTAGATCCACGTTCAAGTCCTGCGTCTACCACTTAGCTGCGCAGCCTGGAGCAAGCTCCTCCCACTGCCTTGCCTGTCTCCTCACCTGTAAGTTTACAGTGACAGGATCTTCTGTGTGTGAGGGTTAGATGAGGCCACACACTCAAGCCCCACGGACAGCGCCTGACTATTGCGCAGTGGGCGGGGCTCATTCCCTCAGTCGTGTCAGACTCTTTGCGACCCCACGGACATGCACACCAGGCCTCCCTGTCCTTCACTATCTCCCAGACTTTGCTCAAACTCATGTCCATCGAGTCGGTGATGCCATCCAACCCTCCCATCCTCTGCCTCCCTCTCCTCCTTCTGCCTTCAGTCTTTCCCAGCATCAGGGTCTTTTCCAATGAGCCGGCTCTTCACATCAGGTGGCCACAGTATTGGAGCTTCAGCTTCGGCATCAGTCCTTCCAATGGATAGTCCGGGTCGATCTCCTTTAGGATGGGCTGGTTGGATCTCCTTGCTGTCCAAGCAAGTGATGTACAGTGACATGGTATGGTGATGTCTCAATAAATGAGAGCTCCTGGGATTGCACCATCATCAGGGACATTTTCTTCTCGGACTCTGTCACCATCGGCATCTCTGCATTCCCACTTATTTACTCAGTTCTCTGGAAAACCCATGCAGATGCTAAATAGCAGGAAAACACTGCCTGGCTTCCATTCCAGCTGAACAGACTCAAGGATGAAAATTGCCAGGAATTCCCCCACTGGTTTTAACATCTCTGGATGTCTCCTTCTGTTTTCCTTCACCGGGAAAAAGATGAAGCTGTCCATCGGCGCCCTCGGTGGAGGCCAGCTCCCACCTGTGCACGGCAGTCAGGCTCAAAGGGCCCTGGGAAAGTGAGCCAGAACCCCCCACGGGGTGCGCGTGTACACACAGCGTCCGTAAAATACAGCACCTGCGTTATTTCTGCTGGCCTCGGGGCATAAAGAATGGATATAAAATGCCACAGGAGAACTTTTTGAGAGTGTTTGGAGATATTTCTTTTCACAATATTAAGAACAAAAAGATGTTGACATTTTTTACTGCTCCTTTCATCTTTATAGTTATTTTGAAGTCAGGGCTCAAGACGAAGACCAAGGAGCCAGGCGGACAGGTTCACCTAGGCCTGTGAGATGCTGCCATCTCGTGGCCAGTGTGAGCACTACAGAGGGAGGCTGGCTGCCCTTTGTCCATCGGTTCAGTTCAGTTCAGTCGCCCAGTCTTGTCCGACTCTTTGCGACCCCATGGATCGCAGCACGCCAGGCTTTCCTGCCCATCACCAACTCCAGTTTACTCAAACTCATGTCCATTGAGTCGGTGATGCCATCCAACCATCTCATCCCCTGTTGTCCCCTTCTCCTCCTGCCCTCAATCTTTCCCAGCATCAGGGTTTTTTCCAAGAGTCAGTTCCTTTCATCAGGTGGCCAAAGTATTGGAGTTTCAGCTTCAGCATCAGTCCTTCCAATGAATATTCAGAGTTGATTTCCTTTAGAATTGACTGGTTTCATTTCCTTGCAGTCCAAGAACTCTCAAGAGTCTTCTCCACCACCAGAGTTCAAAAGCATCAATTCTTCAGCGCTCGGCTTTCTTTATAGTCCAACTGTCACATCCATCAAGTTCCAGGTTATTTGGCAAACCTGTGACCTGCGCTTCACCAATACTGCCACTAATTGTATAGATTCCTCGGGCCTCAAGTGAATCTTCACTTTCCTCGGTAAGGATAGGACAAATGAGCCATAATAAAACTCAGAATGTTTAGGTTGAAGAGTGAAGGGCTTTTTTAGTGTGTTTGTTTTGGATGCATGTTTAAGCAGAAAGAAAATTTAAAAAAAAAGAAAATCCAGCCTTCATTTTTTTGCCCCACCTCATAGTATATGGCTTTCTCTTTCTTTCTTTTTCACAGCATGTGGCTATCCCAGTGGCAAACAGCGGTAAAGAGTTCCCTGGCAATGCTGGAGACTCAGGAAACAAGGGTTTGATCCCTGGGTCGGGAAGCTCCCCTGCAGGAGAGCATGGCAACCCACCCCAGTATTCTTGCCGGGAAAATCTCATGGACAGAGGAGTCTGGTGGGCCACAGTCCACAGGTCACAAAGAGTCGGACACGACTGAGGTAACCGAGCACCCAGTCACGGCACATGGGGTACTTGTTCCCAGAGCAGGTATTGAACCCAGGCCCCCGGCGTTGGAAGCTCGGAGTCTTAACCACTGGACCACCAGGGAAGTCCCAGAAAACCCACTCTTTTACTCTATAAACATTGACAGTAGAAGCACAGATCCACTCTTTCGCGATTTGACAGGCAGGCGCACTCTGTGTGAATTCTGTGACTTCACAGGAAAAGCAACGCAAACCCTGAAGATACATCAATATGTGTGATCAGCAGGGCACAGATGATTGGCTCCAGGCCTGGACAGCCCGCCCGGAGCTCTTCACCTGGCGTCCCCCGCTGTCCCCACAGCAGCCCCGCCAGCTCTGTTCTGCCTTCCCAGCGGCTTGCGGGGCTGTAGTCACCCGGCCACGAGGTGAGGACTCGGAACCGGGGCTCCATCCTCCCAGAGGCGGACAGCCCTGCATCCCGTGGGCTGCCGGGTCTTCCCGGCCGCAGACAGTGCTGTCACGGCACAGCTACTCAACACGGCCAGAAGCGGGCGAGCAGGTGAGTGAGCAAGGCCTCTGGCAGAAGACGCCTGTGCTCACCAGTGTCCGAGTGGCCCTTCCTCCCGGGTCATGCAACGAGACGGCATTTTTCGTCTCCTTTGCAGTGAATGCGACCAGCAGCCAAATTCTGGCCCGTGGAAGCTCTACGTCCAGGCCTGGCCGATGGAAACCTCCCGTCCTTTTCTCTCCCCTCAGCAGGCTGAAAGGAGGGAGTCCCGAGAACCTAAAGGAGAGTGGGGTGCCCAGCGGGTCAGGGCTGGGGCCCCGAGTGGCTGCGTAAAGCAGAGTCCTGCTCCCCCCTCCCACTAGACTGCAAGAGCGTGAGAAATCATGGGGCATGTTGTGCCCTCAACACAATCTGAGGGTTGTCTGTTAGCAGTGAGTCCACCCAGGCCGATGAGACGCCACGGCAGTCCTTGTGAAGTCATAAACTCAGCCTTTTCTGTACGAGAAAGACGTCCTGCGTTGCTGTCATTTTAAGTTAAAGCTCCCATGACTGAATAAAGAACTCAAGCTTTATGCTTATAATAAATTCACACCCTCATGGGGGAGTCGTTATTAAATCAGAGAACTTAAAGGAAGCTGATTCTCTCTCTCTTTCTTCTTAGGTTTTCACTGAACGAACCCAAAGAAGAAAGCATGTTCCCCGAGGTGGCGTGGACAGCTGAAGCATCTGTCCGTGTTTACGGCTGCCCACAAGCTCAGGTGTGTTGCATGAACTCACCATCTGCCGTCTACCTGGAGACCCAGGCCTCCGACTTTGACTCAGCTGCGTGAGCCACGCTCAACTTCTCCGACAACACGTCGACCCACAGGACGGGGGATGAGGGGACAAAGCAGGAGGGTGGGTGGCTGTGTTCACACTGACGGAACCCTCCACGCGCACCTGCGGTGGGGACCCTCCAGGTCACCTTGGAAACGCAGGCATACGCGGGACAGGTTACATCAGAGCCGCTCCGTAACACACCGCACAGTGGAGCGTGCGCGTGCCCACCTGCCTCCCTGGAGGGCTTCAAGGCTTCTACTGACACGTCTTTCCCTTTCTAGCTGTTCTGATAACGAAGGAGCTCCTGCTCAATGCGGCTACCGGCCTCTAATCTCAGGTCGTCTGCCTACAGGGGCCCTCGTCTTGGATTAGAGTCAAAATGCAGCTGAGAGGAGAAACCTCATGGAGAAAAATTCTGTCCATTAACACACAGGCTCCTGAAACTCAAATACAATACTGCCATTTGACATTTGACAAAACTATCCTAAGAACTATCTGAGAAAATACACAGCTGAGGATGGTTCAGAAATTTTGTCAGAAAAGCAAAGTGAAGAAGGATTTGCCTGATCAAAACCAATAGGACGCTCCGCTTTTGTTTTTGTTTTTTTGCCACTAAAGACAGAGGACTGATAAGACTCTGGACTCCAAGTTTGTGATGTCTGATGCCTTTTCTCGGTTCTTTAAAAATAGGAGAAGGGATTTCCTGGTGGTTCCGGATTCGGTGCTTTCACTGCTGGGGACTGGGTTCCATCCCTGGTGGGGAACTAAGAGCCCACAGGCCAGGAGGAATGACCAAAGAAATACAGAATAAGTAAAACAGGTATACAAGAAGATGGGGCTAGTGAAGGGAGCGTGAAAGACGCAGTCTTGGAGATGCGGCACCGACAGCCGGCTGCTCCTGGCCTGTCGAAGCCTCAGCTCTTACATTCAGCCTCCCCACTGCCGCACCTGCCAGACCCCCTCCCGGGCAGCGCCCTGTGTGTGCCCAAGGAAGAAGGTCTAACCTGCTGGCTTCCTGCCCACCTTATCAGGAAACTACGTTTGCCTTCCCTCAGCTAATTCCTTTCCATTTCCAGCCCACTTTGTTGTTCAGTCGCCCAGTCGTGTCTGACTCTTATCAACCCCACGGACTGCAGCACGCCAGGCCTCCCTGTCCTTCACCATCTCTCCAAGTTTGTCCAAGTTCATGTTTATTGCATCGGTGATGCCATCCAGCCATCTCATCCTCTGACACCCTCTTCTTCTGCCCTCAATCTTTCCCAGCATCAGGGACTTTTCCAGTGAGTCAGCTATTCGAGTCAGATCACCAGTCCACTTAGTGAGATTCAAAAGCGTACATGATTCCATCAGACGTACAAAATGACTTGCCCCGCCATTATCCTTTGATGCTTCATTTGTGATAGCAAAAGATGGAAACAACCCAAATGTCAATTTATGAGGAAAATCTTGTTAGCTAAATTTTGGCTCAAACAGAGGGCTTCCATGCAGCCATAAAATGGAATCAGGAAGCTCTTTGTGAATTTTGAGATGATTTCCAGGATCCTGTTACATAAACAAAGTTGAGTGTCTACAGAATGTACCAATTGATTCAAAAAAGAGAAAAATTAAAACATGCATGGATTTGCTTATAGATGCATAAAATATTTATAGGAGGACCCATAAGAAATTGAAAATCTGGGTGACTGGGGTACAGGGTGGGAAGAGGGCTTTTTAATCAGATGTTATTTGGTGACTTTTGGACTTCAAACCTGGTGAGTGAGTTGCTTCATCAGAAAATAAATTAGATTTAACACCTTCATTGGTGACAGGGTAAGAGGTTTTGTCCGGGGACTGAACACAGTGACCACACAGACACGGCCCCCACCCACCAGGAGCCTGAGACAGAATCAACTCCGAGTGACAGGAGGGGTCTCAAGCGCCCCCCCAAAAGGAGACTCAGGGCGGGTCGCGGGGGGAGTTGCCCCGGGTCACACGGCCTCCCGCCCGCAATGCTGACCCCTGGCCTCTGTCCTGCAGCCCCTCTGGACTCGCGGGTGTCCGCGTGCCGTGAATTGGTCCAGGCCCATTTTCTTTCTGAGCAGCAGCCGGCTTCGTCTCCGCAGGAGTGAGAGGAGAAGCGGTGAAGGAGACGCTGTATCCGCGCCGCCAGAGCCGAAGGCCCCGCAGCCACGAGAGCCTGCGGGCTCACAGGGGCGTCCCGGGCGCCTCCCAGGGGCTCGGGGACCCCGCGGCTGGCTCCCCGCTGCGCCCCTGCCGCCCTCAGGCCTCGGGAAAGATCTAAACTAATTACGATTTTTATTCCACCTGTGCGTAATCGGGGGGCGGAGCTCCTCAGTGAGAGAAATGGCTTGTTAGCTGTGTTCACAGCACGCGCGGCCCCTCGCCGGGGCTCTCCTGACGTCAGCCCCCCACGTCCCCGGAGAAAACGGACTGTCCGGGCGGCGCCGCCACGGCCTGCAGGGCCCGAGCCAAAGAAGACCTGCTCGTGTGCTCCGAACGAAGACACTTCGGTGGTGTCTTTAAGAAGCACTTAACAGGAAAGGATCCGTGAAATATAAAATAGTAAATGAGAAAAGCCAGGGGCGGCGTGCTGCCAAAACCTCCTGTGTGCGTAAAAAGGCCCACGTTATTACTCACCACGTTTCAGAGCAGGTACTATTTCTGTGCAGTAAGGACGGCAGGTGATTTTTTTTTTTTTACTGGCTCAATTTATCTTACATTTTTACAAAAGACTTTCTTATATTTTCATGATCAGACCAGAAAAAAACTCGATCCTCAGAAAAACGTATTCGCATTCGGCATACTCTGGAAAGCGAGATGTGCGGGCCGTAAAGTTTAGCAAGAAGTTCAGCAGCTCCCGGAGGCTGAACCCAAGATATTCCATTGCTAGAGCCCTGCTCCCCTGTGGGTGAGGGTCCCTGAGCTCTCAACATTCCCGTGAGGACACGGCTCGTGGCGGGGACTCCTGGGCAGCCGTGGTCAGTGGCTCCCCCACACCCTCCCCTGGACGCCCTGTCCCCTGGAAGTGGGGACAGTGGCCAGCCTGCCCCCAGAGAGGAGGCCTTGTGGCCGTTCTGGCCCCCTGGATGGACCGAGACCCGCCGGGGCACCGGTAAGAGGACAATGCTGACGGACAGTAAATGACATGTTGACACAGCCTCTTACACTGTCTTTGCTGACTGTTGTCCCGAACTGCTTTTCCGTCCTCCTCTTCCCTCTCTGCAGATCCGAGCGCTGGGGCCAAGGGGCTTCTGCTGGTTCCCAGGACCCTCAGCAGAGCTGGGCAGCCCCAAGCCCAGCGGCTCCTGGATGTCCCGCCTGCACCAGTCGGGACCCTGGAGCAAGCACCGCAGACCACGGTGCGGGAGCAGCTTGCAAGCTGGCGGCTGGGGGAGGCCCTGTCTATGCGCTGTGGAGGGTGGAGTGCGAGGAGGCCGCCAGAAAGAAGCAGAAAGTGTGGCGAGGGAAGAGGTGGAATAGGACAAAAGTTTAAAAAGCTTAGCCTTTTCTCTGGATGTTGGCCTCTGCTTATTTACCCTTCAGTTCAGTTCAGTTCAGCTGCTTAGTCGTATCCGACCCTTTGCGACCCCATGGACTGCAGCACACCAGGCTTCCCTGTCCATCACCAACTCCCAGAGTTTACCAAACTCACGTCCATTGAGTCAGTGATGCCATCCAACCATCTCATCCTCTGTCGTCCCCTTCTCCTCCTGCCCTCAATCTTTCCCAGCATCAGGGTCTTTTCCAATGACAGTTCTTCCCATCAGGTGGCCAAAGGATTGGAGTTTCAGCTTCAGCATCAGTCCTTCCAATGAATATTCAGGACAGATTTCCTTTAGGATGGACTGGTTCAATCTCTTTGTAATCCAAAGGACTCTTAAGAGTCTTCTCCAGCACCACAGTTCAAAAGCATCAATTCTTCGGCTAAAAAGCATCAATTCTTGGACTGTGAAGAAAGCTGAGTGCTGAAGAATTTACCCTTCGCTTCTGTACAAAACTTGACAATTTAATAATTATTGTTGTCCTGTTGTTGGTATATGTTCATGAACTTACAAGTAGAAAACAAAATTTTTGAGACTTGAAGGACTAATCCATAGAAAAGTATATATAGGTAAAAATTAAAGTATTAAAAAAATTTTTTTTTAAAATTGACAATTTAGAAACACTTGGATTCCATCAAATAAGACAGAATAAAATGAAGTACCGTCCTGGTTGTCTGTCTTTTCACTCTAGTGCTTCACCCACTTTCTGATTTGGGGGGTGTGCCTCCCTGTGATCACACTGCCTAGGGACACAGAAGCCAGCAACGGGGACCCCCTGGTGCCCAGTGGTCAAGACCCCACTCTCCCGAGGCGGTTCAGGTTCAACCCCTGGTCAGGGAACTGGATCCCACAGGCCCCAGTCAAGACTGGAGATCTTTACAACTAAGGCCCTGAGTGGCCAAATTAATCAATATTAAAAAAAAAAAAGGCAGTGGCAGCCAGCACCAGTTGAGAGGCCGTCATCTCTGACCCTGGGAAGCTGGAGGGGGCACCTCTTGAAGAACAGTGCCAGAGCCGGGAAGGGTCTGGCAGGCACGCCAGGCCCCACCAGGACCAGCGCTGGTTCCCCGAAAGCTGCCTCATGTCTGGGGCCCTGCCTTTTCTCTACACAAATCTGTTCTGAAGTCAGCTCTATAGACCAAGAGGTGAAGGCAAACCCCGGAGTTCTCAGGTTCCCCGGCTGCGCGCTTTCACGGAAGGGCGTCCCTGCAAAGGCCTCTTCCCCACAGGCTTCTGTGACGCTGTGCGCTCACAACTCAGGGGAGACTCCAGGAGCCAAGTCTCTTTGCATAAACCAGTGCAGCTCTAAAGGAGACCATTCCTGCTGGAGGATTTAGAAAATACCCCGGGAGTCAAGCGTGCATTACGTCACAGCGTGAGCATGTTCCGACGGCTATTACTGGGATTATGCTTGGGGGCCGGCAGATTAAAGGGTGTCAGCCCCAATACTTCACATTCTACTCAGGAGAAAGGCAAGGAAACCAACTGCTGAGACGGCAGCTGCTGAGTCAACTGCAGGAGCATTACTGTGCTTATTCTCAACTTTCTGTGATGAGACGCAAAGCGAAACAAAACAAAAAGAACGGAAACACTAGCTGTTTCTGTTACAGAAACCAGTGAACTTTCTGATAATTGCCTGTGTACTTTGGAGGCAAAGAGACTAACCTAGAAAATGCTAAGCATATGTAAAATAGAGCGTGAACCTTCGGAAGGGCTCGTGTGTTTCTGGCTGATCACGCGACTGACAAGGTCCGAATGTATCCAGGTGTCTGCAGACACACAGTAACTTCACTCCCTGACAGTGCTTCTTGGAAATGTCATGTGAACTTTAACTAGACTTGACATTTTGTATGTATTTTCCTGCAGTATTTTGAGTGTTGGTATATAAATATGTGAATCCTCGACCACTCTTCAATGCCAAAGGAGCAATGTGTTTGCAAGGACCATGTGACCAAGCTTTTATACCCAGATGGGAGTAATTGCTATAAACCTGAAAATGTCCTCACAATGATCTAAAGCAAATGCATAGGATAGCATTGCTGCTAGCGCTGGGTCACAGGACAGGACAAAGGGCCGGGGACATGTTTGCGTCTCAACAGACAGTGGGGTGGGAGTTCAGGGCAACTCCTGCAACACACAGGGTGATGGAGGCTCCCCCTGTCCGCCCAGAGCCGGGAGCTCGGTTCGTCCCCACCAGCCGAGTGCCCGCCACTCGGTCACCTACCAGGAGCTGGTGGAAGCCATGCTGGTGTGAATCAGCCCGGGGGAGCTGCTCGGGAGGCCTGCAACCCCACAACGCTGGCCCCCAGCACCTCCGCTCTGACCTGGAGTACTGGAAGCCAGGCCTGGAGCGGTCAAGGCTTGGTGCATGGCCCTGGGTCACCTGGGCTGAGGAGCCACCCATGGCCCCCAGGTCTGGTCTGGAACTGGATTCGGAACCGTCCACGGCCCCACAGGCTGGGTCTAGAGACTCACAGGGCGGGCCTTCCACAGCCTATGTTTACAGATGTGAATCCCGCTCCTCCAGGCACCCATGAAGCAGGCTGCTCTAGGAGCCACGGGGGTGGGGGGCCTGGGGTGAGGCTGGGCAGCCCTGATTCCCCAGCTGCCCACGGCCCTCGGTGGGGACCCACCTGGAAGGTAGCGACGCGGTGGGGGCTGAAACCTGGTACCTGCAGTGGAATCTGTGCGTGTCTGTGTGTGCACATGTGTGTGCCTGTGTGTGCATGTGCACATGTGTGTGCATGCGCGCGTGTGTGTAAGACACCTCTCCCAGTCTGACAGCCTGGGCCCCGGGACTCCCCTCATCCTTGCACCTCCCGCAAGCAGACCCAAGGGCCTCTGCACACCCTTGGGCTGCATGGTGGGGGGCTCTCCCCAACCCCATGCCCCTCCTTCCTCCGCAGACTGCCCTTCCTCTTACTGACCACACTTTCCTCTCCCGCCCCGCCTGGGCTCGCCCCCACCCCAACCCCCAGGCCCCTCACTGCCCCAGGCCTTGCTCAGCCTCAGCATGTCCCGGGGTCTCTGCTCCCAGCTCCCTACAAGCAAGGCCTCCCTCGTGCCTCACTTGTGGCATGGAACACAACCCCACCCTCACCACGCCAGCACCTTCCACCCCCTCTCAATCAATTTGATCTTCTTCACAGCATTGTCATTATCTGACCAACACTTACAGGTCTGTGACATTAAATGTATAACCCTTTATACAAAACAGCTGCCTGTGACGAAGTTAAGATCTCACATACATTTTACAAGTATTCAATCATATTTTAAAAAGCTTATCAGTTTCAGCTTCTGAAATTACACATATATATTTTATAATCCCATCCAGTGTTTAAATGTTAATAGGGTCAAAAGCTTTGGGCTAAAATCAAGTGTTATTCGGAATGATCTATGATCTATATTAGTACTGAGAATGCAATGGTCACTTTCAGATGATTTCTGGTGCTTCAACTACATTAGAAACATTAATACACTCAAAAGGATGTGCACTGCTGGTGTGTTGATTTATACTCTTGTTCTGCACTAGTTAAATAGAAAACCCACAGATTCTCTCTGCGTATGCCGAGTGGACGTGTGAAGGAGCTGATCGGGTGCCATCCTGAATTTGGTCTGCATGTGGATTTGCGCCCTCAGCCAGGGACAGCCAGGCTGGGGCGGCATCGAGAGTCTCTGGGCGAGAACCACAGTGAGGGCCCGGCCAACTCACTGGAAAAGACCCTGATGCTGGGAAAGACTGAAGGCGGGAGAAGGGGACAACAGAGGATGAGATGGTTGGATGGCATCACTGACTCAATGGACATGAGTTTGAGTGAGCTCCGGGAGTTGCTGATGGACAGGGAGGCCTGGTGTGCTGCAGTCCATGGGGTCGCAAAGAGTCAGACACAACTGAGTGACTGAGAAACAACAATGGACATTCCCACTCCATGCCAACTAAATAAAACATCTCTGGCATCAGGGCTTAGGGGTTAATAGTTTTTAAAATCTCCCCAGGTGGTGCTGATGGGCAGCCATGTTTCAGCCCCCCTCAGTGGTCCAGAGCAGAATGTCTGGATCCAGCCCACTTGCATTCATCATTTACCAGCTCTGTGACCTTGGGCAAGTCACTCAACCATTTTGTACTTCACTTTTCTCAACTCTGAGAGAGAGAGAATAGTAGCTAATTGGCAAGGCTGTTGTGAGAATTCAGTGAGATAACGGATGAGTAGTAAGCACTGAGCCTCGCTTTTATGTTTAATGAAGTCAGGCACAACTCTCAAGTCACCAGAACATTCCGTCCACGTCTAGCGGGAGCTGCACAGAACAAAGCCTCTTCTCTCCTGAACAACAAAGGCAGCTACACCTCTCCCAACTTGGGTCCCGATTTATTCCAGCCAACTCTTGGCTCCTGGTCATCAGACATCCCTGTTCCCCCTCTGCCTAAACACAACAGGTTTCCTGAGGTCCAAAGTCTCGTGGGAGCTGTTAACACTTTATGCATCTTGACTGCCACTCTGTTATCTAAACATGAGGTCAAGACCAAGGCCGTCCGAGGACGCAGCTCCAGCCACCGAAACAGAGGGGGCAGAGCCAGCACTCAGTCTGCACTGATCCCCCTGGCGGCTGCAAAACTCTGCTTACAGGCCAATTTTGTAATGCCCCCAGTTGGCATACTGCAAAATGAAACGAAAGTATCAAGAACAGTAATATATCTTCCAAGAGTTACGGATGTCTACCCCGTCCACCTCTCTTAGCCTGAACCTGAGTTGCTGCCCACAAGAAATTCCTTTCTAAATCAGAGGTAAACTTTGTATCATGAAACACCACTCACAGCCACATCAGTCCAACCTGAGCCCACCTTTCTCTCTTGACCTGCGCTCCTGGACCCACGGCTCACACAGTGTGGCCCTCTGGCATTATCGCCTCAGTGGGGTCTCACACGAAGAGGTGACGGGGCCGCAGCTCGCTCGGCAGATCTGTAGGGGCCATGCTTCAGGGAGGCCCTGCTCCCGAGGTGATGGGGAGCTGGGGGCTGCTGGGGGTGCACTGGTGGCAGGCGGTCCCCACGAGCGCACCCACCAGGAGCACCAGTCAGGTGCAGCCTGTAGGGGCAGAGAGAAGCCCCACGTGGACCCCGGGACCCCGCTCCCACCAGCCCCTCCTGTCTGCGGGCGAGCGGGCAGCCTCATGCAGAGTGCTTAACCACCGACCTCCGCCCTTAGGGCTGTCTGTCTGCAATTAACATGCATCTTTCTAGAGGTTTGGATGAAACCAAAGGCCTAACTTTTACTTTGGAGAATACAGTATATTTTTATAATAAAATTGTTAAAGGAAATTGCATTCTATCTCTTACTTCTATTCAATTTTAAAACGTTGAGCCATTTGGGGAACTGTAGGTGTGTGCACCAGCAGACAGGTTCAAGGAAGTCCGTGTCATTATTACTATAATAACCAAAGCCAGGGAATAAGCAGGGAATAAGCCGTCTGCCAAGGGGACAGGCTGTGGGGCACGGTGGAACACGGGGCCAGCTGTGCACAGGCTCTGCAGCGGTGGCGGCACTTGTTTTAGCTCATGAATCAGTGATATTCCGCCAGGTGGTCCGGATTGGCGGGGATGGAGCCTCTGCGTCAAGCCCCTCTCATCCTCCTCCTGCAACCAGCCTGCACGTGCAGGTCCCAGGGCAACGGTGGTGGTACAAAAGCTGACCAGCCCACCTTCACAGCACTTCTCCAAGGCTGTACATCACTTCTGCTATTGTCCTCTTGGCCAAAGGCAGTCAGATGATCACAGCCATGGCAGGGAATTCACCCAGCCTCACGAGGAAGGCATTGAAAGTTTACGGGCCCAAGGGTACGGGACCCAGGGTGGGAGCGGGGTGGTCAGTTCACCCACATGCATATAAGTTGTGATATGGTCACATGGTGGACTACTATACAGCAGTGAAAAGGAGCGACCAGCTGCTAGTCACAAACGTAACAGTGAGCAGAAGCCAGACTCTAAAGAGCTCACAGGTGCAACTCCATCTGTACGAGGTCCAACCGTCACAACTAAGCACAGTGTCACAAGTCAGGTGGTGGTCACCTTTTGGGGGCAATGACAGGAGTGGGCATGTGGAGGGTCTCTGGGTGTCTGTGGTATTCTGTTTCTTTATCAAGGTCGTGGCTACACTGATGTCTTCCCATGGTGAAAATCCTTGCAGGACACATGATCTGTGCATTTTATGTATTTGTCATGCTTCAATTAAAAAGTCAATTTGAAGAAAACTGAGCTTTCCAGGGAGTATGTCTCACCAAGTGTGGATAAAAAATGAGAAGACATTTAAACCGTGAATGTCTTACAGCTGATGCTCTCGTGACGATACCCAGAACGGCAGTGAGACTGTGAGGCACTAAGTTCCCTTTGTTTCAGCCGCCAGGTGTGGGGTACCTGTCATGGCAGCTGTGACGAGTAAGCCCACCTCCCCACAGCCTCGCCTCTGTTTCCTATCCCAGGAAACGGTGCCCACCCACCTGCCGCCTGGGCCCAACACCTGGACTCCAGTCTTCTCCCTCCGTTCCCTAGTCCTCCCTTCACTAGGTCACCACATCTGATCCATTTGCCCCCCTGAACGTTTCCAGGACCCACTCACTGTCCAGCTGACAGTGAGTGACCCTGGCCCAGGCATCCTGGAGAACAACCCCCAGCCATCCCACCCCACGCCCTGTCCCCCACACGGAGGGATGCTCCTAGAGTCCAAATGTGAGATCACTTCCCAGCTTAACCGCGCAAGGTCCAGGCTGTGGGGCCAGGTCTTTCCTGATGGCCCGTGAGACGCCCCGCCCTAGGACCCGCTGGGTTCCGCCTGGCCACGCCCCTGGTCCCCACCCCAGGCCCCGCCTTCCCGCTTGGCCACGCCCCGGGTCCCCGCCGCAGGCCATGCCCAGTCCCGGCTGACCTTGCGCCCCGTCTCCGCGACCCGCATGGGGGGAACGCGCAGTTCCCCTGCAGCGGCGTTCACTCTGCCCAGAGTGGTAAACTGCCCGCCGTTTCCCAGGTCAGACCCCGCGTGTCTCAGCCTGTGGGTGGGGGGCCTGCGGCCCGGCCAAGCCGCCTCACCGCTGCAGTGACCCATCGTCCCTCCCGAGGGCCCAAGGCCGCTGTCTCCCGGTGTCTCGGGGCCCTGCCTGCCCATCACCAGCGCTCAGGGAACGAGATGGAGAGACTTCCAGATCTGAGGGACGGGCAGGCCCGGACGAGCTGGGGAGGAGGAGGGAGGTTCCCGTGTCACCAACCCAAGGCCGGGCGCAAGGGCCCCGCGCGGGCTGCGCAGACTGAGCTCCGTGAGGCTGGCGGCGCGAGTGAGCCGCGTGTGACTGGGCGTCACCCTGGAGGCAGTTCTTCAGGGGAGTCGAGGAGGTAAGTTCAGACTAAGAAGAGTCTCCTGGAGGGTGGCGCGGGGCAGAGCAGGCAGGGGCCCAGGAGTGACGGAGCCCGGGAGTGACAGGGAGTGATGGGGGCCCGGGAGTGACGGGGAGTGACAAGGGCCCAGGAGTGACAGGGCCTGGGAGTGACGCGGGCCCAGGAGTGACAGGGCCTGGGAGTGACAAGGGCCCAGGAGTGACAGGGCCTGGGAGTGACGCGGGCCCGGGAGTGATTGAGGCCTGGGAGTGACGCGGGCCCAGGAGTGACAGGGCCTGGGAGTGACGCGGGCCCGGGAGTGATGGGGGTCTGGGAGTGACGCAGGCACGGGAGTGACGGGGAGTGACAAGGGCCCAGGAGTGACAGGGCCTGGGAGTGACGCGGGCCCGGGAGTAATGGGGGTCTGGGAGTGACGGGGAGTGACAAGGGCCCAGGAGTGACAGGGGCCCTGGACAACGTGGGTCCTGGGCGGGGAAGGGAGCGCAGATCAGGGGCAAGTGGGGTCTCCGTGGAGGATGGGCAGCGGGGCTGGTGTCCAGCTCATGGGCCAGGATGAGGAGGGCAGTGGAGTGGGGCTGGCTCTGACACTGGCAGTGACCGTCCACACGAGGCAGGGCTCCTCGAGGGCGACCTGGTGGGCACGGGACAGGGTCTCATGACTGGCGATGGGAAAGTCAGACACTGACTTCATGGACAGGAGCGAGACCACAGACCAAGAAGCGACTTTCCACAGCCATCCATTTATTATAACAAATTTCATCAGCGCACATGACTCCAACAGGAAATATACTTACCAAAGTTGGTTTAAATATTGTGTAACAATCCAGGGTATAAATACATGTATATACAAAATTTTACAAAGACATTAAAAGGTTTCTGACCAATGAAGTCCTGAGTTTAGAAAGCAGAAAGTAAGGATTAAATAGTGAACATCAAGATAAAAACTACCAAAGTAATACTGTAGGAAGTTCCTCCAAGAGGAACAACCTTCAGGAGAGGTCCTTGTCTGTACACCTGCTCTTCCTAAAACCTGACGGCAAAGAGCCACTTGGCAAAGCATTGACTATGACAAATGCATATGGACCCTCAGAGCGAATACAAGCTCAAATGCCAAAAAGAAAGAAGAAAACAAAAGCACATTTTTAAAACTGCACCATTTTAAAGCACCTGAAAACACATGGTTCATTAGCATCACAAGTAATAACCAGTCGCTGTGTGAGAATAACTCTGCCTAACGAGAAAGCCATCCAAGGCGCCCTGGCACCGACTCCCACAGCCGTTCTGGGCTCACAGCGTGTCTGCACGTGCGGGGGACAAGGGGGAGATCCGGTTACTCAAAATAATTCTTGCCCAAGATCTGCTCAACCTCACCCACACCAGGTCACTGGGTATCTCTTCAGTTTACACACATTTCTGCAGCCAAAAATGTCAAACAATCTCCTTGAGGGATGAGCCCCAAAGTGCAATATGACCTCTATTACCTGACTGTAGATAAAGGTTTTTTTAAGTTCAGAGATATAATAAGGGTCTTAAATCTTCATCAAATCATGTACAAACTCACTATGTCTTCATCAGACAAGAGTTATCAAGAGAAGACCTGGCCTCTGATTCCCCAAGCCCATCCAATAGTTGAATTAATATTCAATCGGTTTGAAGTTACATTCACACAGCCCCTAACACGAAGCCCCTGGCAGATAAAGAAGTGAGCTGGCATGCCAGCAAACCAGGTTATTAATATAAATTATACTATATTAGGAAGCTACTCATAATTTGCAAAGAAAAAGGAAACTGTGTCCTGAACACACCATTCAGAACGGCAACCAGTTAATCTTCCAAGAAAAGGGTTATAGATTCAACAAGGCAGGTTAAGCTGCCCTGGTTAGACTTGCTTTGGCAGCTTCACCATAAAACTCATCGTAGCTACTGTATTTACAAGGGAGTGAAGATACAGGCATGAAGGTGTCCACTCACAGGAAATAACTTATCCTCAGTCACCACAGTCCCCATAAGAACCCATACACACAGGCTAGTGAGCCAGCCCGAGACTGCACACCCGTGTTAAAGACGAACATCAACATTTCCAGGCAATGGACAAGGACCACTCACTTGGTTTTGAATCCCAATTCTATCCGATTGCCACGAGACTCTGACATAAGTAAGTACCTGGTAAGTACCTGTCTTACATCGTCTGCAGGGAAGCCTGCGGCTGCACATTCAGGCATCTGAAATCAGCGTCAACACCCAGGAGGAGGCCGCCCACAGACTGGCCGGCTCTGGAGTGGGCTCACTGCTCTCTGGCGGGAGGAGACCCCTCCCTGGCGCCCTCCCGGGTGGGCAGCACACCCTGCTCCGAGCCGCCCGGGGCCGGGCCCGGGAGCTCATACACCCGCTTGGGCACTCCTCGGGTCCTCTGGGGGCCAGGCCTGTCCGACCCAGGCTGCTCTCGTCCTGCTGCTCTGGGACCCTGATTGCAAGCTTCCCAGGGCCCCCACAAACCAGGTCCTTCTTCAAATTCAAAACCCAGGAGCAGTGAGGTGGCGCAAGACTCCAGCTCCCTGTGGCCGGCTCGGGCCCTGCTGTCCTCAGGGCACCCGCTCTGGTTGCCGTGGAGACCCCGGGCCGAGCTGCATAGACGCTGCACACAGTCCTGGAGGAGGGCCAGGTCCCCGCGGCGCCCTGTGCAAGGAGAGGGGAGAGGTGGTCACCTCGCCATCCCTCCCCAGGGAGTCGGCTCCGAGATGTGACCCGAGACATCTAGCCAAGCGACCCATTGGGACAACTCCAGGCAACTTAAGGGCATTCAGTGCATCTGTTAAATAGGCAAGTTGTTCTTCAGGATCTAGTAGTTTAGGCAGAGGAACTTACAGATATTAAGTGGGAATTCAATCATACAAGTTCCTACAAGTCAATAATGCCAACAAGGGGCACTGATGAGGCCTCAGTGAGTGAATCAAACTAGAAATGAGATGTTTGAGATTCCTCAAACTGTCAACTCCTGATTAACCACAAATTCCATTTGCACTACATACCTCTCAGAGCAGAAATAATAATTTGAATAGTTTGCTCTAAGCCACATTTTAACTTCAAGAATTCTTGGGCAAGATTAATCATCTTCTTCAAATCTTCATGTTCAGAATTTTCTTCTTGTACTTGAGTTCTGAAGCTTTTCTGCATAAAAAAATAGTTTAAAAAATACATAATAGGTTACATGGAGGGAAAGCTCAGTCAAAATAATTTTAATTGCCAGAATTTTACCTTCAAAATGACAGTGAGTTTAATTTCAAGACCAAAATGTGATATGAACAATTACTATATTCAAAAGAAACAAAAACTTTTAAATAATTTAAAAATCAAAGTCCAATTTCCTATTTTATGAAAATGAAATAAAACAACAGTACTTACTGTTTACTACCCAATTATCATAAAAGATAAATTTGTTTAATTTTTAAGAGTTCAACTTTATATCTCCTGCTTATTTTAACATTTTCAAGCTATAGAAATTTTGATTCCATATTTAGTTTATATTTTTCTATTTACCTGAGACATGAGTAAAATAATTTGTCTAATTTGCCTATATTTTAAAATCTTTGAGTATACTGATTATTAAACATAATTTTTTATCCTATGGTGATTATTCAGGCAAAAACTGACAGCAGCAGAAAGAAACAGGCATGACACATTAATACGCTCAGTGTCTGCACACAATTTCATCCATCACTAAACCAACCAAGTCAGACACCAAGAGGAAGATGCCTGAGAGCTCCTGCACCTGCCTGCTTCCAGTAAACAGGCTAAGTCACCAGCAAGCGACAGAAACTAAAACTAAAAAGCACATCCACGCCGGAGCCCAGTGAGATGAAAAACACACTCAACAAAACCAAACACGAAAACAATTAAGAGCTTCTCTTACTGTTTTCCATTCAGCGAAGAGGTTTCCGAGGGATTCGATCAGTCCCAGGGCATTAGCTTTCATCTGTTTGGTAACCTACAGAGAATGTTAAAATATTATACAAATAACTGTTTCAGTTCAGTCAGTCAGTTCAGTTGCTCAGTCGTGTCCAACTCTTTGCAACCCCATGAATCACAGCACACCAGGTCTCCCTCTCCATCACCAACTCCCAGAGTTTACTCAAACTCATGTCCATCAAGTCGGTGATGCCATCCAACCATCTCATCCTCTGTCATCCCCTTCTGCTCCTGTCCCCAATCCTTCCCAGCATCAGGGTCTTTTCCAATGAGTCAACTCTTTGCATGAGGTGGCCAAAAGTATTGGAGTTTCAGCTTCAACATCAGTTCTTCCAATGAACACGCAGGACTGATCTCCTTTAGGATGGACTGGTTGCAATTCCCTGATAGCTTAGTTGGTAAATAACTGTTTGCTGCTGCTGCTAAGTCACTTCAGTCGTGTCCGACTCTGTGCGGCCCCATAGACGGCAGCCCATCAGGCTCCCCCGTCCCTGGGATTCTCCAGGCAACAACACTGGAGTGGGTTGCCATTTCCTTCTCCAATGCATGAAAGTGAAAAGTGAAAGTGAAGTTGCTTAGTCATGTCTGACTCTCTGCGACCCCATGAATTGCAGCCTACCAGGCTCCTCCATCCATGGGATTTTCTAGGCAAGAGTACTGGAGTGGGTTGCCATTGCCTTCTCTGAAACTGTTTAGAAGTATAAAAATCCTGGCATTCTATGGGATCTGCCAGGGAGAAGCGTTTTCGTCCAGTAGTCATGAGGTTGGGGCTCAGTTACTGAGACTACAAGTAAGTAGCCAGAGTGTCCAAGTCACAGAAGTGGACTTTCTTTCTAAATAAGTTGCACACTGGTCCCACATTAAATGTGGATACCCAAGTCTTCCTGCTGGTCCAGTGGTTAAGCGTCCATCTTGCAATGCAGGGGACACTGATTCGATCCCTGATCCGGGAGGATCCCACATGCTGCAGAGCGACTAGGCTCGTGTGCCGCAACTGCTGGGCCCCGGCTCTAGCACCTGGGAGCCGCAGCTGCT